TTTCGTGCCAGCACCTACTGCGACACGGGACCTCGGTTTATACGGTCTCATCCGAAGGACCGGTCTCCACGTCCCACAGTGGGATTCGAACCCGCGACGTAAGGATCAACTCCTTACTTCGCGACTCTAGAGCATACGCTCTAACCACTGCGCCACGCGGGCGACTGTTTCCAATGAAGATGGTACACGTATATTTCATTTAATAATTTCAATGACAACACTCCCGTAATTTCATTGTTTTAAAGATCCAATTGCAATAAAATGAATAAAATGCAATAAAATTTCATATTGTTTCGCAATTGTTCTGATTTATTTCGACTTTCTGTCTTAATTTCTTAAATAAATAATTTTTCTAGAAGTGAACATTATTTTACTAAAGTAACACTATTATCTGTCAAAGGATGTAAATAAAAGAAGTTCTTTAAATCTGAATTTAAATTTTGATTATTTAAAAAGGACATTCATTTCAATTTTTAGAGTCATATCATAAACACATCTTCGTTTGAAAATATCCAATCCTTTTGTTTTGATTTTATTTACTTTTTTAACATTTATTTTTAAAAACAAGTCATTCACAGAAGTTTTTATATGTACGTATAAATATATACATTTTAAGTAAAGCATGGATTTGATTTATGAAAAACAAAATTTTGATTTATACCTTTCTAACATAATAGTTGCATTATAAAAAATCCATTTTGCCATTGCTTTTCTCGTCTTATATGATACTTTGATGTTGACGAAAGATTATACATGTATTTTCATAGTTTTATATGAGCTGAACATGTAGGTAGGGGCAATAAAATTGATATATGTCATAATAATATTTCAGTACGGTTTCTCGTTGAACCATCCCTGTCAAAACCATTGAAATTTTTTTCTATTTACTTTAATATATTTTTCATTTCAAGTTTTTAAAGAGTTATTGTCATGTTTCTGGACTTAAAGAAAGCGCACACATTTCAATTAAATGTAATTATTATTATTTTTTTTTTTTTAAAACTGTTTGCAAAAAGAAACCTAATTCATTACGTTTTATTTCCATTAGTGAACTCTTCAAAATTAGAGGCGCGTTTGGTCGTCTGATAGGGACAGCATGGCGTTGCGGATAATACAAAACATGCCAATCTCAATCCAATTTTTAATGTTAAATGTATTTGTCATTCCAATTAAAGAATAGAAGAAGTAAAAGACATATGTAAGAGATCGAGAACCCTAAATTTATCATCCATTAATAAAAAATACAACATTTCCGAGGCATGTGTATTGTATTTAGATGTACCATGCGATAAATAGATACATACGATCAACAATAGATATAAATTGATATCGTTGTCATTCCTACTCTTGATGTATGTAAAGTCCACAACAATAAAATATTTCATTTGCATTTTCTTAGGATTTGTTCATCGACATTCAACATACTTACAGTATTGTTTACATGTTTACGTTACGTTTGTCCCTGAAATCCCGCGAGATTTGTACGTTTTCCGACTTTTTCACAAAAGAGCGCACTAAGAAGTATAACTCTTCCATAGTGGAAATATAACGTATTGAATGTACCGTCATGGTAGCTCAGTCGATAGAGCGCTCGCTCCGTGATCGGAAGGTCGTGTGTTCGAATCATGGCCACGACTGACCTAAGTCGATAAAAATTAGGTAGCAACTGTTCCTTCGCCAAGCGCTTGGCACTTTGAAGTGAAAGTTGCAGGTCATTCGGATGAGACCTCAAAAACCGAGGCCCCGTGTCACGGTAGGCGTTGTCACAATAAAGAACCCTACCTGCTATATGGCCCTGAGTGCTGAGTAAAGGTCTAAATTTGAAGCCCTTCACTTGTATATAGTGATGTCTCTATATGAGTGAAAAATTCTTAACGGGACATTTAAACAACATACAATCAATCAAATTGAATGTACTTTTCTGATCGTGTTACAATCTTGAAAATCTTATACAATGTAGGTATGATTTTGAAAATTCCCAATTTATAAACTTTTGTATGAGTCAGAAAAATCCTGTTTAAAAATAATACATCAATATGATCAGAAGTGGATTTTATGTATCAAGTATTGTAATATATTAAAGGGAAGTTCATGTCTATTCAAATCTTTCCGACTAAAAAAAACTTTATTGACATTACAATGGATAAATATAAAAAAAAAAAAAACGGGGGAAATCGACTGCAATTTGTGACCCTGTTTTTTTTTTAATAATTGTGTCATATTTACAAAACTTTTCCTACAGTTAAAGGGCGTGGGATGGGTGGGGAATGGGGATAGAGATACTGAATCCACTCTTTTCTGACCACCAGTTTCAATTTTGCAAATATATACAACTTTCGTAAGAAGATAATCCCATATCCAAGTTTTATTAATTTGTCAAAAAGTTTTCCCTGAATTCATTTAAATCCAGGCAGAGTTGTGCTCTTTTGCAGGCCAGGAATAATCAGAGGCAAAATTTAACATCTTTAACTCTTTTTTTCAATAACATATTCAATTGCAAAATATAAAATGTAAGAAAAAAAATCTGCACCTATATATTTCATAGATGCAGATATATTTTCTTGGCCCCACGACACAAGATAATCATCTACCGAGAACTTTACTGAGATTCCTGGCATTTCATACAGATAAAGTTGCTTTACATGACGAAAACATCGATGCCTCAAATATTACTTCAGGTGTTCATTTTAAATTCTATCACTGAATATTGGCAAATTAACTAACTTAACTATACCCCGAGATTCCCTCTTATTTCATTCCGTATTATAAAAGTGTGCCACTTCAGGTGCGGTACATTTTATGCAAGTTTAAATTTCACTACAAAGTTTTGGCGCCACGCGGAACTGGGATGGTAAGGATTTTTTTTTTAGATTCACTTCCAAGCTTTTAAGACAAAATTCTTTAAAAATAAATGATAAAAATAAATAATATAAAAGACCATAATATATACATGATAATAATCCATTATTGTTTTATATCTTCTTCACAGATTTTTTTTTTTTTTTTTTTTTTTTTTTTTTTTTGAGATCGATCACTTTTCGTTATCTTCAGCTTTTTCACTTGTTAGCTTGAGCATGTCCACCGTCTTTATTCTTAAATCTAATATTAGCACATTATTTTATTATTATATGTTACAAATTTATGAAATGATTAAATAATAAATTACAGTGCATAAAGCGATGATATATAGAAAGTGTTGAAAAATGATTTTAAAAAATTAGGAAATTGAAAAATCGATAATAATAATTAGACAGCAAGCAAGTGCAATGGTACTGATTTACGCTGGTTGTTCGAATTATTATTCATACATTTATAATCTCAAGGCTGGTTTGAATTTGTGCTATATTCAGGCTAATCTCTCTCTCTCTTTTCTGCGAAAATAGTTTTCTTCTCAAATTAATCGCAGTGTAATTTTTAAAAAATGTTTTTGGGGGGATTTTTGACCAGGGTGGTATTTTCTTGGATTTTCCAACTACCGACACCCTCTTTTTTTAAACAGTATTAAATACTTTATTGTAAAGTTTAAAACTAAACCAGCTGTCTCAATTCAAGCCCTTCATAATTACAGGATCGAAAGAATAAACTCATTATTTTAAAAAAAAAATAGACGTTCCTTTCTGACAGATTTTTGCCTATATGGGATTTGTAGGAAGATTTTAAAATAATTATAACTTGTTTGGTAATATTGATTATTTATAAATGATTTCGTTTAAACTAAACTCAGGTCAGAGAAAATCATTTTCCTTTATATATAATATACATACATATATACAGGTACATATATATTTTGACTTAAAAAATGCAATGCAATATACATTTTTACTCATATAATATGATCAAAGTATTTTATTAATTGTTAAGAGTATACATAAGATTGTTAGAAATTCAATATTTAATGCTTTAGTTTCCAAAATATCAGAAATAATTCCAAAGTTTACTAAAATTTATAATTCTAAAAATGTGCATTATCTTTAAAATTTACTTAAAATATCTTAAAAAAACTATTATATTTTCAGGTATTTTATTTAAGTTTTCTTCTCTTTTTTTTAATAAATAAAACAAGCTATCAACATTTTAATTTATATAATTAATGTAGAAATCTTATGCACTCTGGCTCTTTTGATTATCTATTTAAATAAATATTTTTGTTTATAAATAAAGATTACTGTAAAAAAAAAAAATTAGAAACCAAGATGAGTAGGCCGTAAAAATAAAAACAATTTTACAAATCGAATGTATTTGCCACAAAAATGTGACGCTTATACATGTACATTTGTTTTGCAGATATAGCAATTAAGAACACGCGTAAAATACTAACATTAACGACGAGAGACCTGGCTAATTTTCTATTTAACATATAAAATGATAATTTTTACAGCTTTTTTAAATAGCCTTTAGTAAAGAATTTCCAGTTTATATTTAGATCTCAATAAACATGGAAAACACCTAATCTTTAAATAGATAATAGTAGGTAAGTTTTCTGTTGTATAATTATAAAAAAAAATTGAGATGTTTACTCTCTGTATAAATTTTCAAAAAAACTTCTCAATGCTATTGCAACTCAATTCAACTTCATTTTGAAAGCCGATATCACTTATATTTATGAATTACAAAAGTGTACAAACTATTACGTATTTCTAAAAATAGACCGCGCACGTGTCTCATTAGAAATCCTAAAATCCACGGACATCACCGCTTTACATATTTGTCTCTTTTCAGTCGGTAGGAGGAGGTGAGTCTATCGATGATTATTATGCATTCCTATTGTATGCAGGATTAAAATGTGTTTGATACCTGATATGAAATAATAATATGAAATACATGTATATGTGTTGGCTTTCTCCTGACTTAAGTCAACAGGTATGTCAAAATGTCGGACAGCAGTATTTTACGCGGGCCGCCTACATATACAGAATGACTTACAAAATGCCTTACATGCATCTTTATCTCCAAAAAACAGTCAGAAAATTGTCATTTTGTTGGTTGTATTTGACAGGTAATATGTATAACACAGATTTAAATCTCGACATGGAGATGTATGAGGCGGATCCAGTGTTTAAAAAGGCTTGTGAAGAATACAATGAACACGGCGTCTCGTCGACTCTCATTAAGGACGTGCTAAAGAGCAAGATTCAGTTAAGGCGTGTCTCCGCAGGGCAGGAGGAACTTAGAGTTGAAAATAGACCATCCTTAAAACATCCAGTACGTACAACTTTAACATTCAAGTGCTACTTGACACTCACGATGAAAATTCTAAAATAAGGAAATTTTATTGTCATTTTTAAACGTTATAACCCTTAACTTTATAACAGATTAATTTTTATCATTTCTATAGACGACTGTGCTTAGTATGTTGTCAGGGGTTTTCATCTGCTGCAGTAAATAGGCGTTGTCGTACCTTTAGCTTGAAATGTTTATCGCTATCTTTAGAAATATTTACTACAGTACTATAAAAAATCAATCGTTTCTAGAGTAGCAATATGAGCACATGATATCAAGGTAAAGAAAATAAATTTAATCTTTGCATAAATATATGCTAAATCTATATATGTAACTGGTTTAAATGTATCTATTACCTTGATCGGTATGCAGGTCGCATGTTGTCCAATTATTTTTCCAAATTTTAAGTCTGATTTAAAGAATTCATTTTCATGAATAATGTTTTTAAAAGGGAACAAAACATTTAGGATCTTTAATTTTCTGATGCCTGAGATATGTAAACCTATCTTCGAAAATTAATGCATTGAATTCCTTACTAATCGTCGATTTATTATTATTATTATTATTATTTTACTAAATAAATTTATAAAGCGCAAATTTACATATAGTTTCTTTGCGCTGAATACCAATAATATCAACTTGGTCGTCTTAGTAAACGGTTTGCATGGTGATAATAATGAATGATTAATCTAACAAAATAAGTTGTTTTGTTACTCTTCCTTTGGATTGAATGATGATTCCTGGGGTATTTATATATATGCATATATTCAGCATAAGCTGCAAGTGTTGTATACCAGTTGTAAAATGGTATGTCTATGTTTTGTAATGAATTAAATTATTTTCTTATGAGTACAACAAGAGATGAAACTTCTATTAATTATAAAAATATAAAATTTGTGTTTCTTAAATTCAGAAATTAGGTCTAAAGTGAGACAAAAACATTTATTTCGAATATAAAAATTTTAACACTCCTTAAAGTGCTGGACATTTAAGTGTCACTACAGTAATAAATTTTGCTATATATTCTTACTAAAATTGCACGACTTTTCAGTGAGCGGTATAAATTCAAAACAGGTTTTTGGAGAGTATTGCTTTTCAAATCTTGTAAATCAATTCAATATCGAAAACACATAGGCATCCAAGTTTGTTTCGGTCGATCAGGTGCTTGAAAATCAAGTACAGGCCCTGATCACTTCGCCCTCAGATACAGCACAACAAACTTTATAAAGGCCAAAATATTAATGAATCTGATATATTCAGAAAGTTAACGTACAATTTTTTCATTTCGTAAAAAATTCAGTCCAAGCCTCGTGCAGAAATGCCTTTAATGGAAGAAGAGATTCGGAAATTATTTTGCTTTGGGCTGTTCAAACGATTATACAATATAAACTATCGATCTTTAAAATTAATATTCATGTCTCCGGAGTTCAAGGTTCGAGTCCATGGCTGTGGTTTAGTAAAAATTCATAAAATCCACCAAGCAGCTGATAAATGACCCCTCTAACAATTTAGCGAAAAATCAGGTCCCTTTTCTTAGCATTTAGTCATGTGTGTCTATCAAGAGCAATTTACTTCTTTCAGCTGACAGAGGAAGAACAGAAGAAAAATGAAGCGAGAAAGAAGTGTAACAGAGTTTCAGCCAAAAGATGTAGGGAAAAGAAAAAACAGGAAAATCAACATATTTTTGACGTACGTGTCTGTCATATAAATACATTTTTTTGATTTCTTTGCTTGATATATATACTTCTGTGCGTCTTAACATAGGGGAATACATTGTTCAAAGCTTGTCTTGGAAAAAATGCACAGTATTCATATTTAACTTTTTGTTGAAAATAAACAATATTTTTATATCAAGTATTTTTTCTCTAATGTTTAAATATACAGATGCTCAAAGAACAGGAACAAAGAAATGAAGATCTGAAACAAAAAGTATCAGAAATGGAATCTGAAAAATCCAAAATGTTAAAGACCCTTAGTGAAACATACTCACAATTAAATGGAAATACAATCACACCAGAGAATGTAATGGACATCGTGAATCTGGGAATTCAAAGTGGAATGGAAGTCTCGGAGACTTCGAGTGAAAGTACCACCACAAACACGCAAAACATTCAGGGACATTTGGACCAATCAAACCAAGCGATTCCAGCACCTATGCCAAATTCTTTAAATAATTCTGAAGAAATGAATTTTCACACGACCTTCGACTTAACAACACAAACCGAAAATGACCATGGTGTTCAACAGTCAGCCAACTTCATGCCGTTGGCATCTCAGCAACAACAATTTGAAACTGAACACTTTTTGGCGTGCATTGCAGAAGAACACTCTATGCACTGTTCTGGTGAATGGAATGAATTATACAATGAGTTTAGTTTTTAGGTTTTGAGACCAATTAAATAAATTAATTCTTTGGGATGTTATTTTTATATGTGGTTGACAAATGAACAACTTTAAGAAAATGACATCAGAACATGGTGCATGGATATTACACTTAACCACGTTTGTGTTGGCGTTTTTAAAATTGTTAATAAGTAAAAGACAGAATTTAGTTATTTCAGCAAAAATGCTTCAGTTGATTCTGTGTCTAGACGAGGCTGTAATTTATTGGCTCTTTTTCTGGTGTTAATATGATATATATAATAGTTCTTACAATTGAACATCTGCAACATGATTTATAATAAACATTTTGCAAATATTTGCAATTCAATTTTTAATTTTCAATTCAGATTAATTGATTCTTGGAATCATTGTCGGATCGTAGGTGGTGATGACTAATAAAAGTTTTTATCGTTACAAATTCAGTTTGGACACTGATAAAAATTTTATTCATTAACAAGTATATCAAAATATCCCAAATATAGAAATCTTATTTGGTTTAAATACACAAACGGTGCGCAATCAGCTTAGAGAAATTGGTTTTCGGACAATAAGGCTATTAGATGGTCTTGTTTTGATAAAGACATCTGCAAATTCGGCATCATCGGGCAAAATCGCATATTAAATTTACTTGTGTCGATTAAACAAATGTATTATATACAGATGAGAAAATAGACAACTTTCACATGTACAAAAGTTATTTCCCTTTGCGGATTCACTCTGGGGTCAATCGGCGTAACCCACTTTTTTCCTTTATAATATTATGAACTTAAGGGGGGGGGGGGGGCAGTGTCTTCAAAATAAATCTGTATGTTACTTATGTTTTCTTTGATGCCCATACCATGGCAATACAGAATCGGTATAAAATTGTCTGAAAGCGTTTGAAGTTTTGTAATATTTATAAGTAAATTACAAAGGATCTAGTGAGAAAAAATATCGTTACGCTGACTTCTGGAGAGATAACTCTTAGGAATGTGAAAGTCGTCAAGTTGTGCCTTAGCAACTTTGTCTAGTATATGTCTGGACCTGCGTGTTCTGCATTATTTTTAGTTGCAGAAATCTTAAAAGTTTATTCACAAAAAAAGTGATGTGAATATTAGAAACAAATACAATCAATGGTTTCTTCTTTTCTTTTTTTTTGTGAAGGTATTCCGTCTAACGCATTTTTTAAGTAATATACAAGTAACTGCGGTATTTTAATTATCCTGAAGTCGAAAATAAAATGCACTTCTTGCAACGAACACATTGATTACAATGAAGACTTTCAGCGTTGATAATTCAAAAACAAAACAAAAAAATAAAGAGTGATATTTTACAAAACAGAAAATTTATTTCACGGTGCATGTATTAATTTATTCGGTATGCACATTGTTTCACTTGTTTCTAAAAAAACTTTTATTAAATGTCTGAGTTGTTTCTATCTAAAGAGCGGTTTTTCCACCATGAGATATAAAAATCGTGACAGGTTTGTGCACATGGTCATACGAAGTACGTATGATGAATCTATATATGTTATATTGAAACTGAAACTTCAAGCTTTACTTGTCAAAGACCAAAGAAATGTGATGGCAAGGTGCCCGTCTGTCTGTAACATTTTTTTTTCAAAATGCTTCTCCTCCTATATTTCTGGGGGTCTGGTATACAAGTAGACAAAGGTACAGAATTCTGTTTCTGCCGTTGTTAGAAAACTCTGTAAAATTCTTTCAAAACGCTACGCCTTTTATAGCTGAGTTCGATTTCAATAAAAACTTGGTACACACATTATTGTAAGTAGACTATACTAAAATACGTAATGCTCTTTATCGGTTTTTAATTTCGCCGAATGATGTTGCCATGGTAACTAAAAAAAAGTGTGAACTTCTTTCAATGAGCTCCTTCTTCTACAGTTTTTTGTTTGTTAAAACCTTGGTACACAAATTTATTACATTGAGATATATAAATTCTTACATCGATTTTTGATTCCAACGGAAATGGCAATTTCTGTGAAATTCTTTCAAAACGCCCCTCCTACAGGTTCGGTATGATTTCAATAAAGCTTGGTGCACAAAAAGACTTGTACTAAGACACAGAGTTCTTTTTTCTTGAATTTTGATTAAAAAAAATATTATTGCCATAGTTAAAAAACATAGTAATCTCTATGAAATCGGTTCCCCTCCAATGTATTTGGTCAGAGGTCAATAGCACTTGATACAAAAGTTGATAACTATAACACTTGTACTGAGGAACATAATTCTTTATCGGTTTTAAATTACACCAAAGATGTTTCTATCATGGTTACTTAAAATAGAATTTTCTGTGATTTAAACAAAAAAAAAATTCTACATTTTAGTACGATTTCAGCAAAACTTGCCACACAGAGAGACCAGGAAAGGGTCATAATTCTGCTTAATTGGAGTTGCCATAGTTTTAAGTTGAAGTGTTACTTTTTCTCTTTCTTTGTTATACATCTGTGGCTCGACTAGTTTGTACTTAGGTCTATAACAAAGAAAGAGTAAAGTAGCGCAGTTTTATTAAAATAAAAAAAATTACATGAATAATATACTGATGAGGTAATTTCCAAATGGATTTTTTATAAGGATTTTTATTACATGAAGATATTCTAGAACTTATTTCATTGTATTTCATTTCGTCCTAAGTACTCAATCTGATAAAAATCAGATCTTTGTTAAGCTCCGAAATTCTGATAGTCCCTGTACAGCGACTATCACAATTTCGGAGCGTAACAAAGATCTGATTTTAATCAGATTGCCTAATAACTTAAACTTCTGTGAGCATTATCTCTCAGAGAAAGGTTTAAAATAGATCAGCTACGTTGAAAACATACAGTGTATACACATTTAACAGCGAACGTATAATCAAGTTATAACGAACATTCATACATTTTCTTTCACACAAACAAGGGAACGTCAAATTTTGATTCACATACATGTTAACCTAACAAATGAGACTTTCAAGGGATAACTAAAAGAGTTTAGAAATTAATCATTTGTACAATTTTTTAAATAGTTTGAACAATTTAGAAAATCGTTTGCATGATTTAGAAAATCGTAAGTACAATTTTGAAAGTCGTTTGTACGATTTTTTTTAACACTTCTTGTTTTTCTTTTCTTCTTAAGTATTTATATACAGTATGTTCTTTATTGAATAAAACAGGAAGCAATATCCACACAGACTATACTGTGGAGGGTAAAAAAATAACTGATACAACAGACATTTACCAACATGTTTATTCAATATTTCTATTTTCTATATTTGTTCATTTTTATTTATTTTCAACCCAAATTGCTGTGCCTTCTAGAGGCATTTAAAACTCTACTCACCTCTGATAAATTATCATTTCTCTAAACAATATTTTATTCAGATAAAGCGGAATTATCATTATGTATCATTGAATACCCCCCCCCCCCCCGGTATAAGACCCAACTTTTTTCCTGGTGTATTTTTTTTTCTCCCGATAGAGTATAGAAATTTTCATTGAGAGACCGGTCCCCACCACTTTTTTCAGTTTTTTGCATTAGGATTAAAGCGTCCCACCATAATGTATCAAAACATTTTTTGTAGAAAGGAGACTTGTTTCCTATCCCCCCCCCCCACACACACACACGAAATAGGACTGTTGAGTTTGGTTAGTCAGCGCTTTTTTTTTCTTTTTGACTTTTATTTTTTCTTTGAAGACTTTTTCTTTTTGTCCCCCACTTTCGCGAAAGCGAGGGGACACTAAACTAAATCTCATTCGTCTGTCTGTCAGTCTGTCTGTCACAAAAACTTTAACCTTGGTCATAACTTTTGAATGAGAAGAGATAGGGCTTTCATATTTCACTTGTACATTACCTGTGACAAGACCTTTCGAAATATACTATGATTTTTGACCCCGTGACCTTGACCTTGAAGATTGACCTACTTTTCAAAAATTTTATCTTTGCTTATAACTTTTGATTGAGAAGAGATAGGGCTTTCATATTTGACATATGCATTACCTGTGAAAAGACCTTTTGTAACTTGTTATGGTTTTTGACCCCCTTGACCTCGTGACCTTGACCTTGAAATTTGACTTACTTTTCGAAATTTTTATCTTTGCTTATATCTTTTGATTGAGAATAGATACAGCTTTCATATTTGACATGTGCATTAACAGTGAGAAGGTGTTTCTGAGCATGCTATGATTTTTTTACCCCTTGACCTTGTCCTTCAAGTTTGATCTAAATTAAAAAAGAAATTAACTTTGGTGGTTACTTTTAAATGACATATGATAGGGCTTTCATATTTAACACGTGCATTATCTGTTTTAAATATGTTTCCAAATATGCTATGATTTTTTTACCCCTTGACTTTGACCTTCAAGTTTGACCTATTTTTCAAACATTTCATCAGTGTTGCTAACTTTTAAGGAGCGTAGATAGGGTCCTACTTTTCAAAAATTTTAACATTGCTATTGATTGAGAGAAGATATGGCATTTACTTTTGACATGTGCATTACCTGTTTCAATACCTTTTCGATTGTCTAGTCTAATTTTGATATTTTTTTCACATGTGCGTTACTGTGACAAGACCTTTTGGATTTTATTATGATATTTGACCTCATAATCTTGATCGTGAAGTTTGATATTGTTTTGAGAAGCTTTAATCTTTGCCATAACTGTTATTAATTCAATAATTTGTGTCTTTTCTGTATAATGCACAGACAACACAGGACACACGAACAAGACAGTTACAATATGCTATAAATAATAGCATCCCTTCCACTAAGACACCGAAAGCGGGGGACCACAATTCTTTGAATTTGCTTGTTGTTTGTTGTCCCCCGCTTTCACTGAAAGTGAGGGATATTAATTTGGGTCTGTCTGTCCGTCCGTCTTTCTGTATTTCTGTCTGTCTGTAACGCTTTCGTTTCCGCGCGATATCTCGAGAACCCTTTGAGCTTTCGCTATGAAATTTTGCATAGCAACTCCCTATGGACTAAAGTAGAACGCTATTAATTTTGAGGTCAAAGGTCAAGGACATAAATTCTTTTTGTTTTAATACTTTCGTTTCCGAGCGATATCTTGCGAATTCTTTAAGCTTTTGCAATGGAATTTTACATAACAACTCCCTGTGGCCTAAGGAAGACCTCTATTGATTTTGAGGTCAAAAGGCCAAAGTTCAAGGTCGTAAATTCACAAATTCCGTCTGTGTGTAACACTTTCGTTTCCGGGCGATATCTCAAAAAGCTTTTG